CTATCTTTTTCAACTATTATCGATGTTTCTTTTTTCCGAACTGTATATTATCATCAGACACAATGTACCATATTTAGCGGTTCAACTAATTCGATTTCTTATGGGGTATGAATTCGACAAGTTTAAATTGAATTTGAAGTCACAAATCTACATATCACTGATTTTATTATCCATAATGATTCTAACAATACGAAGTTGTCGAGAAGAGTGAAACTGATCTTTGGTAGTTCTAAAGCAATTCAGACTGCGAAGTGTACATGCATTGGTGTAAAAATTTATTTTTAGTTGTGTCAATTCCATTTGTTAGTTTCCGCAAAGAAATTTAGTTCCCTTCTGTTTCTGAACTCATTCAGTAGTATGTTGTCGTTGATATCGGGTTGAACCGCGTCTGGAGTTTTGTATTCAAAGTTTCGGCTCCCATTTTGGAGCTATTTTCAAGAATTTGATGTGATTTGACGACGGGGCCTCAATCTGTCTACTCTCTAGGCCTGGTCATGAGTTCTCTCTAAGGTCTGAATCTGCCTACTCCTTAGATTGAACTGAGGTGTCGATGGGTGATAGGTGGTATTTATATCGCGGAAGCTACTGAAGTGGAAATGTTCCCCCATGTCAATGAATCCCAGGGTATATATGAAATTCCATGCTCCGATTTCGATATAACATATGTAGGCCAGACCAACAGACGTGTAACAAGTAGAGTATACGAACATCAACTTGCTGTCCGAAAGTCAGACCCATCTTGCCCTGTCAAACATTATCAAGAGACGGGGCACAACATAGACTTTGCGAACACTAAGACCATCCCACAGCGCAAACACTACAAGCTCGGATAATTCGCTAGGTCATCGAAATCAAAAAGCAACCTTTCTGCCTGAATGAAAGTAATGACGGTCAGAGACTTCCAACTACTTGGAAACTCGTAATTTCCCGATGCTTACCCCCCACCAACACGTCCGGTGATGGTAATCACCCGAAGCCCCGCCCTCACATTTCCATTTCAGTAGCTTCCCCCGATATTAATACCACCGACACCTTCCATCGACATCTCAGTTCAATCTAAGGAGTAGGCAGATTGAGACCTTAGAGAGAATTCATAAAGAGACCTGGGGAGTAGGCAGATTGAGACCCCGGCGTCAAGTCACATCAAATTCTTGAAAATGGCTCCAAAATGAGGACCGAAACGTCGAATATAAAACTCCAGAAACGGTTCAATCAGAACTCTGTATTCTGCGATGATTTGTCCAATTTTTTTTATCAGAAAGACAACCATTGAACTCACCTACACTTTCGGTAATGGTACCTACGTCGAACTTGGTTTTGTATCTTTTTGCTAAAGAATGGGCTGCTTTAACACCAATTGGGTACTGAAAACAAAATACTTTTTTTAATTGGATATACTTATAGGGTGTAACGAATAATTGTCGGTTATTCAGAGAACCAATATAAATACTGAATTTTCTCCATTGAATTCATTATCAATCAGAATTGAATAACTCTTCGTTACTAATTATTTTTTCAAATATGGAAACTGGGACATGAGCTCAGGTAATTCAATCCATTACAAAGTTAGGTAAAAATCAGGTACTTGAAATGTAGGTACTTCAAATTGTAGAATAAGGTTTTGGGAAAGAAAGTTTTTGGCTTTCTACTACTCCATCCTAATAAAAAAAAAAGATTAGGGAATCTTCCAAAGAAAGGAAAGAAGTAATCAATTTGAAAATAAGTAACTCTATACATGGATGTGTAGATCATGCAAAAAAGTAACTTTCAGACACAAACTGAAAGAAAGTCCTCCTGAAACAGCTACTTTCATATAAACATTGAGTCATACCAAAGAAAAAAAAATTTTCGAAACAAATACTTCTATACGAACACTGAATTATACAGAATATACTTTTCTCTACTTAGTTTGTATTTCAAACATTTTTTGTGGAATAAAAATCAGATATCATTCACATGAGTTCTACTTTAAATGAATGGTAACAAATTGCACTTACATGGTACACTGTCATCCTCACCGGTATAATCCCTTCAATTTAGAATAAGGTATATTAAGCATTGAATATCTAGAATTGGTTAGCAAAGACACTCCCGAAGAAGCCATTGTATGGCGAAACACGTGTTGCGTTTTCGTAAAATCTCACAATAAAGTGTTTTTTGAACACTGACATTCCAAAATCGACTTTCAGTATACTGAACGATTTCAACCTGTATGAGTTTCCATGCGACTATCAGGCAGAAACCATTCATCAGGAATACCTACCAAATTTTACTTCGAACACAATGGACTGGAAGGCAATGAAGCTGCTGACATCATTGCAAAAAGGGCACTGGAAGTGGTTCAATTGGATCAAAACCAGTCATTGGAATCAATTCAGAAGGGAATGAAGCATCTTTGAACATTTATACAAGAAATTATTCAAAAGCACAATTCGTTCAGGCAAGTCTCAGCTCATGTACACTGTAGGTTAATGGACTGACACCTATCAGAAAACAACTACTCCCTGGCTAATACCACGAAGGGCGTTGGATTATATCGAACAGGTATCAGTGCAGGATTGTTCACAGAAGTAATTCCTGCATATACTGTTAGCGATAAAACTGCCGGAATCGATTTTCAATTATTGTAACAGGTACACTTGCAGACCGGTTTCGGGCTATTTGACTTTTCGCCAGTTCAAGAGGTAGTGTCCATCATCAAAATTGAGTCGATGATATTTCCAATAAATTAAATTCGAAAATTCCTTTGAGACTATCACTCCTCGAACTAGGCTGAAACGAACGAAAAACTACATATTTGCCATCGCCCCATCTGCCCGTTAACGAGATAATCATTCACATATCTGAATCGCTCAATTTTCAATTATTGGAAAGTGCACACATGAAGTCCGTAACATTTGTAGGTTTTTCTTAATCAATAGATTCATTCCATCCAAGGTGGTTTATTTTTGGGTAAAATATGATATCAAAGTATCGTGTTCATCAAAATTATGAAATTTGAATCATGTTTCGTTAGAATCGGTAGAGTGAAAAATTCGAAAATATTGGAAAAAAGTCGATGTAACAATAGAATTCAAATTTCGAGCAAGGGTATAAATAAATGCATGAAGAAATGAAGATTGAAGAGGACTATCTGGTGAAAGTACGGGTTATACAGGCTGATCCACGGTGGATGGCATATTAGACGTTTCTGGTGAACCAGACATTAAATCACTTTGAAAATTCAATGAGGAGCATATTCGGACATTCTCTAAAATATTTTTGACAGTGGAGCATTGCCACTTCCATTTGAAAGTAGTAGCAACTTTGATTTTTCAAATGGAACACTTTGTATACAATCTTATTTTTGGAATCTAAAACACCCAACAACTTATTTTTCTTGATATTTCCCTATACCTATCTGTTATTGAATTATAGATTAATTTAATTTTTTTTCGGAAATCATGATCTCTAAAAATGCTGATATCTTTGAGATAAGGAATACAATGACATCGACATTTGATTTGGAGTTAGATGTTCATTTGCGGTTGATTCGAATACCTTTCGTTGAACTTTTTACACATCCTGCTGATAATTTTATCACAGTATCCAAAAATAATAAACAAATTCATAAGAACTTCGTTTGAATAGTTTTGTTCCATCGTTTTGAAGGTTTTTTCATCTTGTGAAGTGACGAAAATGTCAATATTATCAGGAGAATGACACAACGTTTCTGTCAAATAGTAACCATGGCCTGCATACAAAACATCGAATGGGAATACCGTTCTGAAGGGACATCTTCTCGAATAAATGCTTATAAGTCCGAAACTTAAATAGTCAGGTATATACGCATGATATCACATAGAAAGAAAGCAAATTTCAACAGCTTTCTGAATTTTCAATAATATACAGGGTGGTCCACTTGAAATAAATAACTTTCAGTCAGATTTTCAAGCAAACGCAAAAACTGTATTTTTTCACCACCATGTATTGAAGTAACGGAAATTACGCTGAAGTATCACCTAACCTCGATCTGAAGAGGGCTTATGAAACAATTGACCTTAACATTCTTCTAATAAAATTAAGAGGTTCAAGCATTGATGGTGATGTTTACCAATGGTTGTCTGACTATTTATCCTATAGAAATCAAAAAGTCAGAGTTCAAGATATCTCACAGGAATTGGATATACATATAGGTGTGCCNTGTCGGAATATGCTGTCAATTGAATTTTAAAAGTGATCCGCAGTCTGGTCCACCAGAAACGTCTGATGTGCCATCCACCGTGAGTCAGCCTGTACATTTCATCCCTTTCAGACTGCTGTTACATTGAATAAATACTCCTATATATTTTTTCATATGATTCAGTGATTTCGAACTGAAATGAATAGTTGATATCAGAAACTCAAATGTGGCGTTTTCCAAAAATAACCGGAGACAATTGCGAACACATGTGAAAAATGTGAAACGTTAGGCTGAAGGTAGATACAAACTTGTAACAGAATAAATATCGTTTAAAAAACTAAAAAACGGGTGGGCGCTTCTATCAAGCGCCCGTCGCTTTTTTCATAATAATACTAGTATTTTTCGTTAGTTATTATTTTGAGCTCATTTAAAAAAATATTATTTTTGACTTTTTAGTTCGATGTTCTTCAAAAGCGTGTTTTTAAGTTTTTTGAACTATATTTATTTTTCATTTATTAGTTTCGTATGCTATAAAAGCGCGTTTTTTTAGTCTCTTTGAACTATATTTATTCTATTTAAACTTTGGGATCAATCAGCCGTTTATTGTTTCGAAAAATGATCATTGATATTTTCGTACAGCGCCATCTGCTTCGCGGGCAGATCAAGCAATAATGTCGGTAATTCTGTCAGATCCCGAGCTTAAGAGTTACAAACATACATACATACAGGTGAAGCTGATCGGAAGCGTGTAAAAAAAAAAAAAAAACAGAAATATCAAAAAATGGAATAATCGAAAAGAAAAAATCCAAATCTGAAAATATCAGTATATTTAGAGTTTCTCTCTAAATTTTGGTCACCTCACCTTGGTGAATGTATAAGAATAACCATCAGGATTGATCACGGGGAAGATATACCAGTCATGTGATTCGGCTACATTTCTGATATCCTTGTTAGTGAGTATTTCATTTAGGATAAAAGTATTCACTGCTCCTGCAATCCTGAAAAACAGAGTAGCAGATGAGTATACACTTCTACTCAGTAAGAAACGTAGTAACTGATAATAAATTATTGGAAAAAACTCAACCAATTGATATTTATTTTGTACGAGCTCATTGAACCTGTGTTAAATCAGTACTTTTTCACGAAAGTGCATTGTTTGTTTCTTGGAAATTTCGGAATTGAAGTCGAAATTTCGAGTTTCAAAAACGCAATTTTCAAAAAACCATTGATAAAAATATGTGGCTTTTCTGTGCTTCCGCACTTTTCAAATCAACTGATGTTCGATTTAGTTGATTAGTTCATTGATATTTTTAGAAAAAAAAGTCTAATTCTATAAACTATCATGATTACAGGTTCGATGAGCCAAAAGTTGTTACATATTGCCTCTGCAAGAGGCAGTACTTCACAATACTGCCTCTTGCACAAAATATTTCAATACTATACTTACCACTCTCTTGCATGAATATTTGAATCAATCCATACGGCTTTGTTTTGATTTTTTGAACTATATGATACTTTTACTCCTATAATGTCTCGGTTTTCATATGATGATCCACCTTTTATCAATGTTACTATTCTTGGATACTTATCAACCAAAGACTCCAACCATTGGTTTATCTAGAAACAAATACAATCATCAGTCCACTTTTAGCCGACATATTTATGAACAGCTTGGAGACCACTATAGTAAATTCCGACCTGGGTACAGATATGTAGACAATATTCTCGCTTGTTTCAAAGGTACTACTTGACAGCTGAACCAATTTATGACATTCATGAATAATCTCAATAGCAACATTCAGTTCATACTCGACACAGAGATAGAGAAACAGATAAATTTCTTAGACCTGACTGTTAGACACGATCAGAATAAATTTGAGTTCAATGTTTTCAGAATACCTAGCTATACAGACATCACCATTCCAAGCGATTCTTTCCATCCAGACAGTCATAAATTAGCAGCCTACAATTCAATGTTGCACAGAGCATTCTCACTGCCTTTGTCTGCTAACAATCTAACTAGGGAAATTGATATAATTACACAGATAGGTCGTAATAATGGTTTCAACGCAGATACTATCCAGAAGTTAGTCAGAAAACAAAGCCGTAAATTCACTTACAGATTAATACACCCTCAGGTCAAACAACCAGAAATCAAGAAATGGGTTACTAACATATTTTGGAAAAAGAATAGAGATAATTGCGCGTTTCTTCAGGAAAAATAATGTGGAAGTGGCATTCAGACCACATGCCAGGTTATCTAATTTCCTTTTCAATGCCAATGATGAGGTGGACAAGTTGGAGAAATCTGGAGTTTATAAGTGGAGTATATAAGTGTCCGGAATATTTGCATGCAACCACAAATTTCCGAATCTCAACGATACGGTAATTTTGCACTATGCAAGGAAAGGTTACAAACTTAATTATTTAGAATCCTTGGAAATGTGAACATTGTGGGTGCAACCAGATTGGCACTTTCGCATTGCAAATTGTAAACTCAGGTACTCAATCAAGTCAAGTACCTCTATTATTACCTAAAGGGGTGGTATATAAAGGCTAATGTAATAAACCATTATTAGTTTAATGTATAAGTTTGAAAATGTCCTTATAGGACGAAACTGCAGTAACGTTAGTTACGAATAAAAGTGGTAAGGAACATAGAAAGTTCCAATGGGGAATGTTTCTCCTGACGAAAATCATCTAGTTTTCATAAACAACGCAATTTAAATTATCATTTCAACCTTCTTCTCTAAAAAATTATTTGAATACTTAAAAAAGAGGAATGAAATAATGCATTCAACATTTAAACGGATTCGTTTCTATTTCACCATTTGGCAACATCGGTTATAGCTAACAAAGGACAATGAATCGCTTACCTGTATGAGACAAACAAGGATGACATATTTCAGAGGCGTGCTGTTCTGTTTACTTATGTTCCGAGTTTCGAGACATTCTGTGACATATGACATTTTGTGCACCTAACCTATCTTCCTCTATATAAATAAATAAATAACAAAACAACACATGTTTATGCGGCTTGTGGAGATGGTATTGAATCATAATTTATATTTTGCCTTAATTGTTGATTCATAAAGATAATTTTCCTTTTTTAAAGTAGAATATCTAGATATGTATAAATAATTTTGACTTGATATAGGCGCTGTTGCCAATACGTGAATTAGAAAAAAATCCCTTTGAAAATTAAAACCCAACATTTGAAACATCAATTTGAATACTTTTCGAAGTGAATTTGATAAACTCATGAATTGAACTCAACTTCATTTTGTTCAAACTTGCATTTGCTGTAATAACCCAAATTGAGGAACATTCTCCATTCTCTTTTCCTCATTATGATTTCCTACCACGTAGTAACGGCTACATCTATCAATTTATTAAAAATATTCCGCTTCTCACTTCGCACAAAACTCATGTAACCCCTATACAGAACTGAATACTTCAATAATATCAGTGTGAACAAAAAGGAAATTTAACATTTGACTGATGATGTGAGCGATCTATTTTTATTTAAGGGCATGCAATATATGTTATTAATTTTTCAAGACTCTCACGAATACTGATTTTGAAATATGTGTTGAATGCACACAGGTTTGGTGATCAAAAACACCTGAAATGTTGACAGTAGCATACGGTGATTGTACTCTGTGTCATAAAATGTTAACAAGTGGTACAAACTTTCCACAGAAGTTCAAGGAGATATGGATGACGATGCTCACCCTGGAAGCCCCATCACATCAACAACTGATGAAAACGTTGAGAAATTGCTGAGTATAACATCATGTCGATTGGCTCATGCTATCTAGTTTTTTTGGAAAATTTTTGGTATGAAGTGTGTTATGACATCGAAACCGAAGCCCAATCGTTCCAATTGAAGAGTTAAAGAGAGCCAAAGACCAAAAAAGCACGGTAAGTTGGATCAAACGTTAAGGTTTTGTATATTTATACTTTATGAGATTTTCTATGACATGAATGTATTTTGAATTGAATAAATGAACTTTATAATTGAATAAAATTGCAGCAATCACATTTTTTTATGAAATTGGTTATTGGTTATTTGAATTTTTCACATACATTTTGAGGTTATGTGAAAAAAGTGTGTATACTAAAGTTGTATTTCACTAGTTCGGACTTCCATTGTCAGAATTTGATTTGCAAGTGTACTTATAGGTTTTGCTATTTGATCTTTGAAATGGTGCAATGTTTCAGCAGATATTTTATCTGTACCAGGGAATGAAATAAATAAATGAATGAATAAATAAAATAACTGAATAAATAAATCACTTTTTACCTCCTCAACAGTATTATATTTAGTCCAATCGAAATCACCAGAACCTTCCAGTGAACCAGCTTCCTGATCTATTTTTTCCTGGATATTCTCTATGAGTACCTCAGTATGCATTCCAAACATGCTCGAAATTGTTCGCAATGCATTTCCACTCTGGGGAGGAATCAAAATGTCTACAGGAGTACCAACCGATCGTGCTGAAGTCCAGAAATCATACCCCGAAGGATTAGATTCTTCTATATTCTTGAGAAGATTCACTTCTCTCTCATTTTTTGGAGTGAGTCTGTAGAGGGTGTAGTTGTCATACCTTACTTTTCCAGCCGATGTCGATGAAGAGCTGACACAAATCAGTAAACCGAAGAGAAATAAATTCATTTCCTACCAGATATACCGCACAAACATAAGATAATTTAAACACTGATGATTCCAAAGGTGTTTTATATGTAATCAATATCAAATACTTGAGAGATGAAAAAAGTGGGAAACAATGAAGAAAATTCAAATCGAGAGAATAACGATAGGCTATAAATTATTTTTGAAGGACAATTGTAGAAACGAGTCGTATAGTTTCCATTAACATGGATTTGTAACATAATAAATATTGATAAAAGTAATTATTACAAGTGATTATCTTCATGATAACTGAGCCAAGATATAATAATCATAATTGATTAAATAGAGATTCGACAGTTCAATTGAATGTTATTACTCCAACTACCTGTTTTCTCAACGAAAAACAATTGAATTATCATGATCCACAGTTTTATCGGAATGGATTTGTCTGGGTTGTTGACAAGTTATAGGGGTACTATTTATATTTCGGAAATAGCAAATCTGTCTGTTTAACATCTGTTTAAAATCTGTTTTTCCGTTAATCAGCTGTCGCCCCCATATGAGCGACAACTCTCAGAAGTTGAGAAACTTGTGCGAGCTAAGGACTAAAAGGTCTTACCTTTTAACGTGTGATTCCTAACACGGTTGCAGAATCATCCCAGCTTCAACCAGATAAATTCTCCCGAGAAAAATATCTGGTCGAGGCAGGAATCGAACCTACGGTCTTCCGATCGTGAGTCGGGCGCACTACCACCGCGGCCAATTCCACAACAAATAATATCAAACATTTTTTAATGCAAATGGCTTGATTGTTTTTTGAAATATTTCTTCTGATCAATACACTTTTGCATTCGTTCAAACCATTTGTCGAAGCAGTTGTTCCTTTTCTTTTGAGACACCCCCAAAACATGGTTTTTGAACGCTTCAACTGCTTCTTCGGCGCTCGTAAATAAATAAAAATAAATTGACCACGCAATTTACCTTTGATATTCAGGAACAAGGAGAAGTCATTGGGTGCCAAATCAGGACTGTACGGATGAGGAGTCATCAATTGATATTAAATCCATTTGGAAAAACGTTCTCAGGAAGTTTATTCCACATAAACGCAATTCTCCAGATGAAAGAGATCTCAAGCAGTGAAGTTTGAGGTGAATTAGGCAGCCATAATCCGTCACGTATTTGTGATATTATTATGTACCGCTCTTGGTGGAATCAAATGTGTCAAGTCACTTGAACACCTTTTCTGAAAGTATCTGAAGAAGAGAGACAAATCTTCACGTGACGTTATCGTCTCCATATAGGCGGATGACTCTTGTCTGTATGAAATCCAGCAACTTCAGGTTATGTTTGGGGGCAGAGCTTCATACATGAGAACAATTCTCCAAAGAAGGTCTGATCTGAGCATCAAAAGTTGCTGAGGTGTGTACAGTTTTCTGGTTCGGAACAGTGTTCCAAGCTTTTGAGAAGCAGCCTTTGCAATTCCAGCGACATGATTGGGCCCAGACATATTTGTGTACGTGTCACCGAGTTGGAACCTGTTCAGCAAAAAGCTCAGATAAAAGCCGCAGAGAGTACCTTACATCTGCGGAAACACAAGGTAAGCCAATGCATGGGGTCTTCTTCAATAACATTGGAGACCTTCGCTTTTCTCAGGCCGAGTGGGCTGAAGTCGGAAACTGAGGGGTTCATAATGGCTTGCCAGGATAGTGTCTTCAACATCTTAGTCTACCGCAGTCGCGTGCCGCGAGGCGCCCGAGACCCTAATGCACTTGCTATCAGCATGTCCAACATATGCGGTCTCTGCCTATATCCATCGACATAACGCGGCCCTAAGAGTGCTATATTACCATCTACGGCACTCTTACGGTATTGACGAGACACCGGTGTTGCCCTACGCTCCGGGGGATTTTGAATCCGTTGTGGGAAACGAGGAGTGCCGAATTTATTGGAACTGTTCGTTCTCCACCCTCAGGCTTATACAAGCTGATAAGCCTGATGTGGTCCTTTCCGACCAACAGAGCAAAACGATATTTTTCGTGGAGTTTTCAGCTCCTGGCGAGACGAATATCGTCAGAAAAGGGAAGGAAAAACGGATAAAATATCGAGATTTTCTCTTCGAACTCTGCAGACTCTATCTTGTATTTTCCAAAAATAATTTGGAATATGCAAAGTTTGGGTTATTGATCCTAATATAAAGATGAAAATCTTGCACCAAAATACGTATTTTTCATAAATTTCTTGAATGCTAATTTTCACTTAATTTTTTCGATAATTTTTTAACTGTAACATTGGAATGTACCTACCGCTTGTACTTCAAAAAATGATGTAATTATGAAGTAGTTGTCTACATTGATGAAAATAAAACTAGTACACAAAAAATGCATCTGGATGACATTTCTTTATAGTACAAGCTGTAGGTACACTTTAATGTTGATATTCAAAAAATACCACTTTCAGAATTTTCAAAATAGATGAGGTAGTATAATATATGGCCTTCAAAAAATATATTCACTCGTTTTCTATACCATCAAGTTATTTGGCAATATATCCATTCATGACGACATAAACACGACATATTGAATTTAGAGAAAACGGTTCTACGCTAGCTTGGTTGAATGCGTCGTTTAACAATATAGATGCAGCATTTTTGAACTTTCTCTTAAACTGGTGCTATTCATTCTGATTTTATTTGTTCTTTCATAGGTTTCGAATCAAGGTAGATGGATATAGTCCGATGGATATAGCCGTCGATGGATATATCTCGAGTACTTTCACCATGAACGCTGGAATTCCCCAGGGATCCATATTGTCTCCAACCCTCTTTTTATTGTATATCAACGACTTATTGAAAAAAACCAAGAACCCAATATATTGCTCTGTTGACAACAGCACACTTTGCATTCCAATTCGATTTCAGGACAACGGCTACGCAGGCACATCTTCACCGGCAGCATGATATTGCATATCTTAATGATAACCTAAAAGTGATTTCGAATTTGGGGTGAAAGTCACCAAGGTCAATTTGATGTCTAGGCATCGGTATTCTTTGAAGAGATAAATGTTTCCGAACCGGATATAGTAATTTGAAGTCAGACAATTCCGCTTTCTGTTTCGATAAGCTTGTTGGGGGTTGAAATGGACACCAACATGTCTTGGCAGAATCATGTCGCGGGAATTGCAAAGATTGCTTCTCAAAAACTTGGAACACTGTTCCTAACCAGAAAACTGTACACACCTCAGCAACTTTTGATGCTTTATAAAGCTCAGATCAGACCTTCTATGGAGTTTTGTTCTCATGTGTGGAGCTTTGTCTGCAAACATACCCTGAAGTTGCTGGATTCCATCCAAAAAAGAGCCATCCACCTAATTGAAGACGCGAACATCACGTGTAACCTTGATAGCCTGGAACATCGAAGAACGGTGGAAGATTCGTCTCTTTTCTATAGATACTTTCAAAGGAAGTGTTCAAGTGACTTGACACATTTGATTCCACCGAGAGCGGTATCATCAGCTGGGGTAAGATTGTCCTAAATCTAAAGTTTTGTTATGGTTTCATCAGCTTTATATCTATTGACATCGATTATATTTATTTTCTATGTATCTTACTGTGTAAGCAAACCTTATATCAATAAATTGAAACCATATTGAGTATTACCAGTATTACAAAAGTTATTAAAGGTGGATACTTTTATCTGAAAAGCACTGTATAGCGGTTCAATGTACTGTTTAGTAAAAATCTCACAGTAATGTGTTGCTTGAATGTGATATTATGAATTTTCATAATGTATCGGGTAATTCAATCAGTTATAGAGAAAATATTACATAATCTACTTGATTTCACGTTTTCAAGTTTGTAAAGCGACTGGGGACAATGGAATATTCAGAATTTTAATTTGTGAACACATTGTAATCAATTGAATTCTTATTCGAGAACGTTTATATCCAGCGAAAGAAAATGTGTTTTCAGTACTTCAAGGTGTCGTTATTTCAGTCTGAAAATACTATTGGGATACAATAATTTGATGTTACACACTTTTATTTTCATTAAGGTTACTCACTAGCAAATATTCCTTGATAATTAGCGTTGTTATAATTCGCATTATGGGAGACGCGCGCCATAAGTTCCAGCAACAGGCTTCAGACTACCGAGTCGCTGAAATTTCATTAGTTGTTACGGAACTGCAACCGGGAGCGAACTAGAAGAACTCTGGTGATTTGTACGAGTTTCGCGAGTTTTTTAAACTTTTTTGGTGTGTTAACAGAAATTTGCTGCACGTTTGAGAGACAAGTCATCAATGAATGAACAAGAAGGGTATGATACACCTCACTACTGCAAGCTGTTTTTTCAATTAGAATTTAGAAATCATTGAAAATGGTTTGGAAATAATGCTTTTTTGAAAATTTCTGGAATACACTGATTTGTGATGGGTTTCTAATAACTCTGGATCACTTTGAACAGGGATGAGATAAAAACTTATAATGGCTGAAAGTTTATTGGAACTTCAATTGCTTTTATAGACAGGGATATGTATAATTTTACTATGGTTGTGTGATTGAGATGTGGCAGTATATCTTTTACAGTTTCGTTTTGATAGACAAACACTGGGGAGTAAATATAAAAAAAATTACATATTAGAATTCAATGTGTACTTTATATAATCAATTTCCAAGTATTATTGTATTTGATTAGACGCATTTGAGTCGAATAGGAAAATTATGTTCAATATAGTTGGCAGCAATGATTTTTGATGAAAACACGGCTGAATTTTTATAAAATATTGCACCATGCTCTTCAAATATTTCCAACACCAAATCGTTATTTTTAACCTTGACACCTTGACACGTGTTTCGATCACCAAGTGATCATCTTCAAAGAGGAGATTAAAACTTGAAACTAAAGCGAAGCTAACCCTATTTATGCTATATAAATATCCCATACAGATAAACCATCCAGATGTTCCACTCATACAGGTATACCAACCTAAATTAATTTTACAATTTTTCCTTATCTATAATTGAAAAATGAGTTGCAACTTCAACAGTGACATGGATAAGGCAATTCACTTCGATATTTTCTAAGAAAAAATAAAACGCTCACGGATTTTTCTCGAATAAAATCAATTTTTGAATCGAACGTAGTAGCATGCGTTTGGCCATTACCCTCGATTTCTTCTATCGGTATGTTGATTGATTGTTTCTGAATTGAAATAACTTCAGCATCTCCTGTTCAATTAA